CCATTTTACTTTCCATTATCCCAAAATAAAGCCCCTATATAACCCTTATAGAACCCTATTGTAATATAGTAGCTTCCATTTTGTTTTCCAGTATCCCAAAATATAGCCCCTATATAACCCTTATACAACCCTAATATAATATAGTAGCTTCCATTCTATTTTCCATTATCCCAAAATATAGCCCCTATGGCCCTATTATAATATAGTAGCTTCCATTTCATTTTCCATTATCTAAAATATAGCAAAATAGGTAATATAACCCCTACTTAACCCGATTATAATATGGTAGCTTCCATTTTATTTTCCACTATCTCAAAATATAGCAAAACAGGTAATATAACCCTTATATAACCCGATTATAATATAGTAGCTTCCATTTTATTTTCCATTATCCCAAAATATAACCTGTGTACATAGGGGAAAGGTTTTGGGTTTAGGGACAATGTGGAAGCCACCATCTAGGGTTCTTGATATAGGGTAGCTTCCCAAAATAGGGGGACCCCAATATAGACCCCAATAAGGGATTAGGGTTTAGGGTTTATGGTCCTTACTATAAGGACCTTTAGACGGGTACCCCTAATTTTGGGAAACCCCCATATCACCCCTGGAGGTAGACACCAGCGGCAACATCGTGTGCGCAGGGAAGAAGACGATGGGTGGCTTCAATCGCATCTTGTTGGTGAGCCTTGAAGTTGAACAGGGCAGGGTTTAAGGGTTTGGTGGGTTGAGGGTTTAGAGGTTTCGGGGTTTAGGGTTTAGGGTTTAGCGGTATGCTTGTGGGGTATATATTCAGTACTGCCCCCCTCAGGAACAGTTGGAGAATAAATATAATAGGGTTATATATAGCCCTTAATAGGACCCCTAATATATACTGTTACTGGGAGGGGGCAGTACCCAACCTAAACGCCTAAACCCTAAACCCCTAAACCCTAAAACCCTAAACCCTAAACCCCTAAACCCTGTGCTTGTGGGGTATATATAGCAAGGGTTATCTGATTCCAGGAGCCTGGCCCGGCTTTTACTACGTCTGGTTTAGGTTTCACACGTGAGGGGCTAGGATCGAGGGGGTCATTTTGGGATAACGGAAAATAAATTGGAAACTGCTATGCTATGATAGGGTTATATAGGGGTTATATGAGGGTTATATAGGGGCTTTATGTTGGGATAATGGAAAAGAAAATGGAAATAACTACATTATGATAGGGTGATATAGGGGTTATATCTGTCTACAGATGTAGTGCTTACCTCAGCCGAAATGGGAACCATTGAGGAGCTTCACGAGCAGCGGCTCTCACCGCTGGACGCAGGAGGTGAGTGGCAGCGACGACGTTGAGGCATGGGCCTTGGAGGCGCAGGGCCTCTAGGGGCCAGAGTTGGGTTGAGAGTTTGGGGGTTAGGGTTTAGGGGTTTAGGGTTTAGGGGTTTAGGGTTTAGGGTTCTTCAAAAGGGGACTCCTGATTTATGGAACCCGCCCCATGCAGAGCAATGAGTTCTTCCCTAAGTTGCAATGGGACTGGGCAGCCAGTACTTGCAGCAGCAAGGATAACAAAGGTGTTCAGAGGGCTCCCGACCACCAGCCCAAAGCACCCAGACTGCGAACTTTTTATTGCACATATAGGGTTTCCAAAAATTAGGGGTACCTTATTGGGGGTCCCCATAATAAGGATTAAAGTATTTTGGGGTCTATATTGGGGTCCCCCTATTTATGGAAACTACCATATTGTTTGAGCATCCACAACGGAGGTTTTAAGGAGGCTTTCTGGGTTGCTTCGCCCTGGCCTCCGTATGACAAAGAGCACACTGTTTTGCTCCCTGTGCCGGCAGTTGAAGTTTAAAAAGCCCTTTTACAACAACTTCTCGGAAGTTTCAGGGTCAGCGAGAGCTGGCCGCGTGCCATTGGAGGAGGTAGTGCAAGGCTTGAGCAATTGGCAGCGCCGTAATGAAGAAGAAGTTGGAAGGCCTAGGGGTCTTGAGGGTTTCGGGTGAAGCTACTCTGCGACATAATGGTGTAGTAGCTTTCGAAGAAAAAGGAGGCAACAGTACTACGTACAGTATTGTTTTTCCTTCCTCTGGGCCAGATAGTTACTTCAGGCGGGTGGATCTGGTAGTACCTATCACAAGGTTGCCATGCACTGGGGCTACCACAGCTTGTCAGCAACATGGTAAGTATACAAAGTGCCTGCAGAGTGAGAACTGTGCCGCTCAGGGTTCATGTTGTTGAGCCAAGACTCAGGACATCAGAGCTTGCGAAATGAGGGTTTCACACAAAAGCCGGCTTCCTTTGTGAGGATTGCAGTATTTTAGAAGGGAACTAAGGAGACCCCATTGCGTTGGAAAGTACCAGATGCGATCTTGATTTTGGCTCACTTTGAACTTGCAAGTTCCAATTTCCCAGGCAAATATTCACATACAGTAATATCGGGTCGAGGCTTCCCAGGCTTCCCTGAAGGCAGTACATAAGGATGGTGGGCAAGATCTTCAGAGACCCTTTCCAAAAACAAGTTCAGGGAAGTACATGGTAGTTTCCCAAAATAAGGGGACCCCAATGTAGACCCCAAAATGCTATAGTCCTTATTATGGGGACCCCCAAAATGGTACCCCTAATTTTGGGCAACCCCCACATTGACAGTGACGACAAGGCTAGGGTCCGCCACCGCTTGTTTGTCAAGCATTTGGGGGTTGTTCTAAAGGTCCGTGTAAAGGGGAGACCATTGGGAATACACTTCCTTAATAAGGGGATCCTAACCACAGAGGGAGCCTACATTATGGCCATTTTGGGGACAGTATTTTGAACAACTACCATTTTCAGCGCTAACCAACCTTTGAATATGATGCTCGCTGTGTTCTGGTGTTGAGTGAGTAGGTGGATGGAGATGGCAACCTCATTGTTGCGGGCTACACGAAAAGCTCTCTCCAGGGCACGAACGCAGGGGACAATGACGCAGTCCTCATGAAGTACACGAGCAATGGCTGGGTTGCTGTTAAGGAACTTAAATTAAATTACTATATTGGGGAAACCCTGTTAATTACTTTCTATACCCACTATGGCTTAAGTTCCTTAACAGCAACCCAGCAACGCAGGTGGTAGCCAGCTGTGGATCGCTCAGCGGGGCAGCAACAGAGATGACATACTCAGAGCAGTGCAGGCCTGGATGCAGAATAGATTTTCCCACTTCCCCTCCCTTTTTCCAGGAAGGTAGTCATAATATTAATAGTAGTAATAGTCATGGTAATATTAATAGTACTACTAGTAATACACTAGCTTCACTAGTTGTAATTCTCATTGGCGGTCAATCCTTTCCCTGTTGGAATGGGCCCTGGACGTCAAGGTGGACACCAGCGGGAACATCGTGTGCGCGGGGTATACGGCAGGCTCAGTCGACAGTGAGCCAAATGCTGGCAGCTGGGACATCTTGCTCCTACGCTTTACCAACGCCGGCGCGCACCAGTGGACCGTCCAGCACGGGGGCACAGGCGATGACCTAGCTCTTGCATTGCAGGCAAGGGGAAGGGGTGTTGGGGAACTGGGCGTCTTTGGCGGAGCAACATTCGCCAATCTGTATCCCAGCAAATGAGGAAAAGTGCAGAATCTCTGCCGGAACAAGCCGTGAAATACAAGCATCGTTGAGGCCCAGACTCTGACCGCCCAAGGCAGGCTTTGAAAGCCCTCACTTGAGTGACATTCGAACACAAAGCTCAGAAGTTTGAAGTCTGGGTGGGCGGAAGCTGGAAGCATTCCGATTTACAAAGGGGCTCATGCAAGTCCGCACCGAAGTTTTTTGTGGGGCCCGTAACTTACAGAAGCCCCTTGCAATAGGCCTTTGTTGCAGCATATAAATCACCACTGTGGGGGGGTGTTTGGTTGTTTTGTGTCTCTGCTTCCCCAATCTCTGCCCGCCTACAGCTGGACAATGATGGCAATCTGGTGGTTGCCGGACGGACTAACGCCGATCTCGATGGGAAACTGCACTATGGTGATGCCAATTGGGACTTGTTTCTGGATCTGGGACCCCTAACCCTTAACCCCTAAGCCCTTGGGACCTGTTTCTGGATCAGGGTGGGGGATTCCTGTTTCCATGCCAAGGTATATACAACTACAACACCCAGCCTTCTTTCTTTCCTGAAAAAACCTTACTGGTGGTTAGAAGGGCAGAAGGAAATATGCTATATAGGGATTATATAGGGACTATATTCCCATGATATTCCCTACTAACCACCGGTACGAAAAGGGGCTAACCCTAAAGCCTAAAACCCAAAACCCTAAAACCCTAAGGTTTCTAATCAGCTTCACCAGCAGCGGAGCTCACCAGTGGACTGTGCTCCGTGGCGGCGCTGGCAATGACCAAGCAGCTGCTTTGCAGGTTGGTTTTAGGGTTTCAGGGTTTAGGTGGTAGGTAGGTTCAGGGCTCATTAATTTTCAGGCTAGGGTCAGGGTGTAAGGTAAGGGGGACCTATCTTTAAATTTGTTCCTCCGTGTTCTAATGGAAAAGATACTGGAAACGCTGCGCTGCTACTGTACCGCTTTCCTCTCAGACATAGATTCCCGGAATCCAGGGACTGGACAACAACCTGTGTACGGTGCTGCCAGTGGAGTGTATATGTGGTTCGGGCGCAGGTTCATTGACATCTCTGTATCTCTGTATGGTAGTGCCTTATGTTTTTGCAGTATGCCTGTCAATTTCCCTTCATGCATGGGGCAAGGATATCTTGCCTGACTGTTGCAATGCTTGATTCCTTCATCATGTTGATCAAGTGTTACATTCAGTCAAAGCAAAGTTACATCAGTGAGGGGCATATGTAGGGCCTTCTGTTGTGCAACTCGTGCCTTGCCTGCTGTAGTTTAAACCCTAAACCCTAAAAAGTAGCTTCCATTCTCTTTTCCATTATCCCTATATAACCCTATATAACCCTATATCACCCTATTTTACCCCATTAAGGCTAAGGGATCAGGTTGTCCTGTCAGCGTTTTAGCTCACCCAAAGCACTCGGTCCCCTTGCAGATGGATGCTGATGGCCACATCGTGCTAGCAGGGACAGCGCTATCCTCTTTGGACGGGCAAACACACGGTGGCCTCAATGACATCTTGCTCATGAGCTACACAAGCAGTGGGGACCATCGGTGGACTCTCCTGCACGGCAGCAGCAGTGCAGAAGCTGCCTGGGGCTTGCAGGCAGGGAGGAATAGGTTTCTGTAGGGCGCGAGCTTACAGTGAGCCAACTCAGCTGCGTTTTTTCAGAACGGGGTCGGATTTGGGTGGCAATCCAACCCGATCGAAAGCTGTATTTTCTCATGTTGGGTGGCAAAGGGATTTGCTGATGGTTGGAGAACTGCCTAGCCGTGAACTGTACCGGCGCCAATTTCGCGATCAGAAGCAAAGAAAACGAGCCTGCGTGCATAAAGTATTTCGAGGCTACCAGCAACCTGAAGCAACGCCAGGAAACATGTGTTTGTTGGCGGGGGTTGTATTCCAAGCATTTTCCGGGAGTTTCCGTGGATTGAATTCCTGCACAATCCAGCTTGGGGCAATTATATGCGAACTTCAAAGCAGTTCGTGTTTTGCCATTGCAGGTTTTTGAATGCTATCGTCTGGTTGTCTTATCATGTTGTTGGCGGCCGAAACCCAAACCCCCTGAGCAACCAAAGGCCTCTCAACGATGACACCCTGGTAGACTTCTGGAATACTTCTCCCCAAGCCGCCCAAGCCTAGGCCCGCTGAACAAGTCCACCCTGCACTGAGCAAAGCTCCAAACCTGACAGACTTTCGCCGATGGCAGCGTTGTTGTCGGGGGCTACTCCACGAGCAGTCTTGATGGCGAAGCTTATGCAGGCAGCAATGACATCATGGTTGCCCTTTTCCAGGCACGAACGACTTTGATGCATTGAGCCTGGGTACATGAATTTGCAACTGAGGTGCAACACACTATTGATAATAGTGTACAAGCTTACGAAGGAATGTTTGCGCGCAATGACATGCTTCTCGCTCTCTTTGCCCGCCCTTCCCAATCTACAGAGGCCTGTCTAGTACCGAGCTGCTTGCTAACCATCATTTGCACATCCCCCGCTTCTACCTTAGCTGCTCTAGACATGATCCCTTTTGACCCTTTTGGCAAACAAAATCAAAGCGACCCTCCCCGCTCTGGCGGAAAAAGCGCCTCAAGCACTAGAACTGTTAAGGAGCCTATGCTGTGCATGATCTTACTTACATGTAACCACAGCTGCGGCAAGCCACTCTTGCGAGGCTTCCACGCACGTAATGTGTGCCCGCTACCCACGGGAGTGAGCAAGCGCATTCATCATGACTACTTTGGTAGCATTAAAGCGAGCAAGTGTAGTTGTGAGGAGGACTGAGTTGGGCCTGTGAATCACACATCATCACACCAAACTGTAGAGGGTTTGGGGTAAGTTCGATACAGAACTTGGATCAAGTGGAAACGAGCATGATACTTAGTTATAGTCTAGTTATAGTGTTTTTTAATGTGCCCCTTCATGCTGAAGACGTAATGGAAACTATGAAATCGTAGTAGCTTCCATTTTCTTATCCATTTCATAAACGATGGAAAAAGCAATGGAATCAGTTCTAATGTGTTGTTGCAAAGTACGGCAACGAGACCATTCTGTGTTGTGTCTTTGTTTGGGCCACTCTCGAATGTCGAGGGGTATGTTCAAAAAGCACATGGATCAACCACAAAATCTTGCCAGTGAGACAAAATGGTATAGAGAAAGTCTAGAAACTTGCCAGCGAGACAAACAGGAAAAAAAAAGAAATGAAGGAAGAACAAAAGAAAACAACATGAATAAAGAAAGAAGGACATACACAAATGACGAAACCAAGACATGAAAAACGACAGAAGCATGAACGGAGAAAGGATGATAGACATAAAGAAAGGACAAGAAAGACGAAGGACAGACAAAAAGAACGAAAGACAAGAAGAAATGAAGAGTTAGATACTTGACAAAATTGAGAAATAAAGAGACGACGAAAATGAAACAAGCAAAGAAAGAAATAATACGTAGGGAAATACGATGAAACAGAAGGAAATCCCGGACACCTCTGCTTGAACAGAGTTCTCGGGTAATCCCAGACCTCCGCGACCACATTGGGATGTAGCTGGCGCGCTACTAGCCTCACAAACAGTGTACAGGCAGCAGGGCGGACCAGAGTTTCTTTCCCGCGAGCGCGCTGTAGTACTGTGAGTCTACTACACCAGAACCTTGAGCAATGGACAGGGTGCATTGGTAAATGGACATGACTGCAAGGGCAAATCCCCCTGCATGTTTAAAGTTAAGAGGCTTGCTGCAAAGAATACCACTCGACCAGCATGTATACAGATGCCAATCGTGATGTCTGCACTTGGGGAGGAGGGGGTTGCGCACCCCCCCCAACCTTCCCCCATGTTTAAAGTTAACAGGCTTGACGTGAAGAATATTATTTGCACCAGCATGTATACAGATAGAAGGGTCGGTCATCCAATCATGACGTTTGCAAACGGGCGGGGGGGCGGCTGCGCAGCTTCTACTGTATCCGAAATGCTAGTGTTTGCCGTATATCCAGACATGCAGGCACGTGAAATTCCGTAATTTACCGCATCTGCAGCTTGAAACGCACTCCAAGTGCTATTGAGTGCAGCATTTCCGATTCTGCAGGCCATGTGAAACGCTGTAATTTACAACGTCTGCAGCTTTAAACGAACTCCAAAAGCTGTTGTTTGCAGCGTCTGCGATTTTACTTTTATTTGATCCTGTGTTTTGTTTGTTGAGCCTTTTTTTTGCTTTTGATCCCCCACCCCATGGCTGTAATTTATACGGCATCTGCAGCTTTTGACGTACTCCAACTGCTAGTGTTTGAAGCATTTCCGATTTGATCCCTATTTGTATTTTGATCCTCCACCCCCCCCCCCCAGTGATATCCATTTGAGAAAATCTTTGTTGAAAAGAAATTTTCAAAGGAAAGTAGAAAGTACTGCAAATTGCATGGCTCGACAGAGCCCCTGGCACCCCTGGCAGCCGCCGACCTCAACCACCTCGACGTTTACCTCCACTACGTCCACGTCAACAACTCTAACGTCCACAACGTGGACTGGCACGTCCTCGACTTCTACCTCCTCGACTTCTACCTCCTCGACTCGCACGTCATCGACGTCAACAACGACATCAACATCCACGTCAGCGACCTCGGCAACATCACCATCATCGTCATCCTCCGAGTCAACATCGTCGATGACGACATCACGCACATCTGCCACATCAACTTCAACAACATCATCGACAGCTTCATCAACAACGTCCACATCCGCAACGCCCACATCGTCGTCGACGTCGTCATTGTCCGCTTCATCAACGTCAACAACATCATCAACATTAACATCATCGACATCAACAAGGTTGTCTTCATCTTCGTCAACCATGACAACATCAAGGACATATACGTGGTCGTGGTCGTTAACCTCGGCATCATCCACATCATCGACTTCATCAGTGTCATCAACAGTTGGGTCAGTGACGTCGACATCAACGACGTCTGTAACGCACACGTCGTCATCCGCATCGTCCGCATCATCATCGACATCATTGACCTCATCGCTGTCCACATCATCCTTGCCGTTGTCATCGTTGGAGTCGACATTGTCGACGGCGACGTCCGGAACATCTATATCATCGGCGTCCTCGTCCTCTTCGTCAACATCCACATTTTCATCTTTGACAACTACTGGTAGAACAGCAACGAGCAGGTCTGGCGCCATTGCCATGGAGCTGGAGCGCGCAACCAATCACCTACTGGGCCGCTGTGCTGCAAGCATCAGGTTGCGGCAGGTGGACAAGGCGTACTCGAGGCTGAAAGCATGATGTAGATGCCAGCTTTCATTTTCGTGGCGGTGTTGGGGCTCTGTAGAGCCATCGTCTTCCTGACTCATCCTGCAGGGACCGAAGGGTTGAGCCTGGAGGATGTGGGCCCAGCCCTGAACACGACAAGCTTTGGTAAGGTAAAGGCATGTGAGTGTTTGGCCAAGATCTGCTAGCTATCCATCCTCGCCCAGAAGGAAATTGAGATGAACCGACTATCCCATTTTGACCCAAAAATCAAACACAAGCCAACCCGCAACTGAGGTCAGTTGACATTTCTGGGCAGGGCAAATGTAACAGCAGACATGGGGACGGTCACAGCCATCAAGTCAGGGGCCCAGTGGACTCCTTGGGACGTAGCTTGGACCTTAGACCCTTAACCCTTTGGGATTCCCTTATATTCCTATTATAGGTAATTAAGGGTTAACCCTTAGTAGGGGTCCTCAGTGCCACGTAGTGGAAGTTCCACTGCACAAGATCATGCACGTGGTAGCGTTTCCAAAGAGCAGGGCCGTTTGCTATCCCACCTATCTTATGCTTACTGACCTGTTGAACCTATCGAATATTGGGGTTCATATAGCTTCTTTGAGGGAGGCTTCTAGGTTGGGTTTGAAGGCCGGCTCGCTTGAGATTGGTGGAGTGTTGTAGGGTCCCCCAGTAATGTTAAGTATTCCCGGGCGCGAGAAATACTTCATATTAGGGTGGTCATTTATTGTAAGGCCTTTATCCTGGTTATTTAGAAATCAGTCACAACAACTCATTGAAACTCAATTTCAGTTAAAGATAATTCAAAATCAATTCGAGTTGCATGTCAGTTCAAATTAATTGAAAACCAGTTTATATCCAATTGAATTTCAATTCAAATGAATTCAAAGCAAATTCAAAACCAATTGAATTTCAATTCCAGTTAACGCAAAGCCTGTTTAACATGAATTGAATTTCAATTCAAATTAACTAGAACCAAATCAAAATGAATTGAATTTCAATTAAAATTCATTCAAACCCAGTTCAAAATCACTTGAATTTCAATTACAAGTACTTCAAAACCAGTTCAAAGCCACTTGAATCTCGACTAGGATTAATTAGAAGCCGATTAAAATGAATTGAAAATTAAAATTGATTAGAAACCTATTTCCTCTGGACCCTCCCTAATTCAATCTGAGTTTCCTCTTGACGGTTTCAATTTCAAAGTAGTCTTTCCCCTTTAAGAGCAGTCTTCCATAAAATGGTTTCTCCCGGGAAATGTTTAATACTAGGGGGGTTAATAATGGGGGGAAGGGTTTAGGGACCATACAAGGGCGCAAGCACCGCGTCTTCTTGTTAGATGGCATTGACACACACCCAGACCCCCTAAAGGATCCAAAAAATGGAACCCCTCAATGATCCCCTAGGTTCCCCAATGTACTACTAATATAGCCACTTTTGATCACTTTTGAGGGGTTCCATTTTTTGGATCCTCTAGGGGGTCTGGGCAGTGACAGGCTCAAGTGTGTGCGCCCTGGGCAGTTGCCTGGTTGATTCCACGCCGCAGTTGCTTCTCCCGAGGTTGCCAGCCGTGGTCAACTCTAGTTACCTCCCCGTCAGTGTGGAGGCGAGCGCAGCTGCTGCTGCCCTGCCACCAGAGGTGGGGGAAACTATAGTGTCTTTAGGAACTATTTATACTTTTATTATAGTATAACTCGAAGGAATTAGAGAAAATCATCATAGGTCTAAGGAGACTACAGGAAAGGGGGGGAAGAGGGAAGAGGGTTGGGTGCGCTCAAACTTGCAGGGTGGCACTGAAGGGGTCAGGTCTAGCGGAGTCTCGCATGCTGTGAGGTTTCCTGGAACGGCTCCGCACTGATCCTTACGGATTTTGATGAGGAGGTCATTGATGTCTTCGGTGGAGTCAAGCCGCAGACTGATGCCGGCCGCCCCATCGAAGCAGTTGCGTCCTTTGTGGACGTCTCTCTCGTGGACCTCGGGAACCAAAGAGCGCGGGAGCTGCAAGCCCCATGGGATGCACCCATCTTCGTGCGGGTCACCATGAAAGAGCCAGCCGGGAACTGGATCTGCGCAGCCTGAATTCGATGGTCTAGGAGCCACAGTTTAGATTGCCAGTGTATAGGGAGGAAATAAAGGACTCAAACTCCTAGGTCCCCGCCATACATAAGCTAAACTCCTTGAGAGGGGAGATTAACAGGGTTTCTACTATGCGGCTAATTCCCGATCCGAGCGCGGCCTGTGCACAGGCTGCAGCGTTTCAGTCCCCAGAAAATTCAGGCCCTAGACATCCTAAATAGCCCTGCAGCATGCCTTGTCACCACTAATCTCGGCGGACAGCACCGCGGCAACGACAAACCTCAGTGGATCGCACCGCGTTAATTACAAACCTTGGCGGGCCGCACCCCTTAAAGCGGAGCACACCCCTTAACCCTAAACACCTAAACCCTGAACCCCTAAACCCTAAACCCTAAACCCCTAGGCCCTAAATCCCTAAACCCTATACCCTAAATAGCGGACCACTCACTTCCCAGCAGCTTCCCACAGAAAAGTCCGAGGCTTATTGGGAGGAAGAGCTTGGGATCTGGTCCACCCAGGGCGTTCGCTTGGCGACCGCATGGGAACTGGAGGCAGCTATTGGAACGGAAGCCTCCGGAACCTGGCGCCCTTGCTGCAAGACTCTAATTAGTCAGAAAGCACTCAAGTTCTAAATAAGCTCTACCAAAGAGCTACTTTCTTTTTTTGTATTGCATGTGAGTACATTCTTGGCGGGATGCAGAAGCTGGGCACAGAGCAACATCAGGAGGTTTCTTTTCTAACCTGGAAGGCCTCCCAATGGAGCTGTTTCCAATTTTTGCGGAAAAGACTAGCTGGGCATGATCACGTTGTGGGGGGGTATGAGTGGGTTGGGTTTGGGGTTCTCTGTCCTGAGTGTGTGCGCGCATGCGGATTTGTTCACCTGGTTGCACGTTTGCTGCGGGCTTGCCGTGGGCTTGAGTTTGCTTTGTCCCCAAACCCTTCCCCGACCTGCCGAACAACCTCAAACCATTAAAACCTGCCAAAACCGTGTCAAAAGGCCAAATCCGTAATGCGATTTCGCTCTGCTAAGTCTTGAGAGAAGGTCTCGATAATTGGAAGTAGGAAGTATGCAGCCTTTTTTGATGTGAGCTCGTAGCGGCGAGGTGTGCCACGATCCACCTTTCCATCTTCGGTGCTTTTATCGACATCCTCCTGGACTGCACGCCGCTCAGCAAAACCACGAGAGGTCAACAAACCCGCGCAATATGGAAACCTGAAGGTAGTGTTGGAACATGATTCTCAATCATCCCGCCCATGGTAGGCCCGTGTAGACGATTTTTGGTGGTCATCACGTGTCCGGCCCTGCTCAACAGCTGCATGACTTGCTTGGCTATGGCCTGCTTTATCGCTGCAACTGCCCCTTCCCTTTTCTGTTTGTGTTTCTCTGTTCGGTCTGCCCACATTCGCTTCCGCTACTGTTGGGTTGTCCGTTGTTCATCTCATGCAGCTTCCCTGACTGCGTCTGGAATGGTCCCTTGCTTGCCCCAGGAACGCGAACATGCTGACACCGGAAGGGCTGAAGGAGATCCTAGACCGGCCGGACTGGTGGACGCGGCCACCCGCCCTGTTGCTTTGGGCGTTGCTTGGGGCTTCTTTGCTGCTCATTGGCTTTGGCTGTTGCAGCGATGCCCGTGTCCGCCGCTCGGGGCTCTGGCGTGAGGAATATTTCCTCACGGACCTTCCCCCAGCCCAGCTGCCACGAGCAAAGCACACACTCTGCTTTAGCTGCTTTCGGTCGACGTCGGCACCGGCAGTGGAGCCAGGCCCGCAAAGATCCGAGAAGTCGAAATCTTGGTTGGCGATGCGAGGGTTCTCCGCACTCTCTGAATCTCCAGCTGCAGCAGCTGCACTCGCGCGGCAGAACCTGCTTCACAGGATGAAGCCCTCTCTGGCATCCGGCATAGAAGAGCGCACAATATGCCGCAACACCTTGCGGCTTGGTTGGCAACACAAGAAGCATGAAGCTGGTTCTGCATAGTTAGAGGGAGGGACTTGGAAGGGCAGCATTTTCTGAAGAAGACATTGAGGTGGGAAGCTGCTCTACAACACCAGCTGCACATCAGCTCCATCGAAATGTGGTTTGGTGATCACTTGGGATATTTCTTAGTTTCCTTTTGTGTTATACATACAGAGATGGGAGAATCATGTCATGAATAAGTTGAGGACCTTTCAGCTCACCGAGGCATATATGGGGTCGACGAGGTTGGGTCCAGGGCAGCTTAGCCACACATCGGTCCCCTCTGATGAAGGAACTGGCCTTGCAGATGGAGGAGACTTTGCCTTCAGCCTTCGTAAAGTGCCTAGACCAGAATACTAGAAGAGAGTAAGCTTCCCTATGTCCGAATCCAACCAAAGAACTCGTTTCGCTCCAAACCCAGCTTCCACCTTAACCCTCCAATGTAGTACCTTTCTGGGAGTCCTAATAAGAGTCCTACCCCCAAAAAAACCTCATACCAAACCCCAAAAAGGAGCTACATTGGAGGGGTCAGGTTCCAGGGCTCATTCACTTTCCGCCTGCCCAGGATGCACACATCGCGATTTCGTCGGCTTTGGGCCTCAGTGGTGGCGACACACCCCATTTATGAGCCTAGGTACCCCGGTAGTACCCTTGTTCCCTTTGTATTAAGCTGTATATTAGGAAAAAGGGTACCCTTACTGTTAAGAGGTTACTGGGGCACCTAGGAGCTCTGTCTCTGCGACATCCACACGACCGCGGCCAAGAGGGCTAAGATCATCGTGGACTGCCTGATGAGTTCCTTGGCCTTTGTGGCCATTTTCTTCTCTGTAGATGGCTCCGCAGTGGCTGCCAGAAGCCCAGAGGATTGTCCCATCGAGCAAGGGACTTTCTTGTGGTTCACCTTGGTTGCTCTCTTCTCCGTGCTGCTGAACTTCCTACCACGCAGCCTGGAATGCCACTTGGCCAGGCGCGACTTCATACAAGAGAAGCCCGGTCTTTTGCGCAACAGACAACTCTTCATGCAGCGCTGCAGCGACGTTGCCTTCTGGATCCTCAGCCTTGGCCTTTCGCTCATCCATCTTCTTGTCGTCACTTCATTTCTGGCAAACCTGTCCGAGGCTGACGAGCACAAGTGGCTCTTCACCTTCGGTGTGGTGCTCGTGCGCGAGCTCCTCATCGTTCCGCTTCTCGCATGCCTCTTCTCCGGCCTTGGCACCGAGGCATCCCTTCGCTCACGGGCAGGGGAGCCGATCCTACCACCGAAGAAGCTCGGCCTGGATCTGCAGCACGGGCAGATGTCAAATGCTGACGAGGATGGTGGAGGCGTGGAATGCAGGACTGGAGGCGATCCACGGGTCTGGTCCCAGAAAGTGCAAGAACTGGCAGGCATGGGACCATGTGTAAGGGGTTCCGCATTGAGCTGGGTTGAGGGCTTAATTGGTAATTAGGGCGCATGATGCTGTATGCTGCAGCTTCTGTGTTTAATCGACCCCGGGCTTTGGGCCAACGATGCCAGGTCGAGGCCTAACGATCAGGCAACTGCTCGACTTTTATGCAGATCTGGGGAAGGGCAACATGAAGCATTTCGATCCTTGCCAGTCGACCACCCACGATGTGGCTTGCCCAACTTACATACATCTGAACAAGGAAACTCTCGCAATTGTTGGGCTTTTTGGTTTTCAACACCTGCTCACCATTGCCCAGGTGGTGCGTCAGGCCATCATTCCGCGGTCCTTGAAGTTCATGAAACCCCGCTACTTCCTGGTACCTTACTTAGCCAATGGAAGAATTTTTTGGGCTTCCTTTTGGGGTCTCAATAAAAAGTTTAAACTTTTTTAGCCCTGATTATTGGGGAAGAGAGGTACTGGTCCATAGGGCTTCCGGCCTGGATTCCATGGATCTCTTGGGCTCAGACCCCTACTGCGTGGTTTCGGTGCAGGGGCCCGGGGTCTCTCCAAAGCCTTGGAAAGGCGGGGGCCACACGGCTGTGGCGGCTGGTCAGAATCCAGTTTGGGAGGAAACCTTCCTTTTGGAGGAGCTGCCTACAAAATAACATGGAAACCGATGCATTATCTAGTGATCACATACTAGATTTGATTTTCCCCACATCAAGTGTGTGGTTCTAGTTGTTCGATGGCCGTGTCGCCCGCACGCCCCCCGCGATTCTTCTTCCGTCAAAATCCCCCCCGCGTATAGACCCTTCCCAATACATTCCCTAATTCCCTAGGAACCACGAGTTAGTAAACAACATCCTCGTCCAGGATGTCTTTGAGGATGAGAGCCTCCACTTCAGCGTCTGGGACCGGGACTTCTTGTCCAGCGACGACCCTCTCGGCAGCATCTCAATGCCTGTGCCAACCTCAGCCTTGGCTGCTCTATGCATATACCTGCTGGTGGTGGGTAGGGAAAAGGAAATACAACCCATATAGGATCCCTATAGTAGATATACACACACATATATATATATATATTCCCTACTCCCTTATTCCCTACTGACCACCAGTAGGTATAGTGCACAGGGAAAATATGTTCTGTGTCTGAGCAGTCGTGTTCATACATATATATATATATGTACGTGTATATGTGTGTATAGACGTGTAAATGTGACTGCGCTTGTACATGTGTAGTAGTTTCTTAGTGGACAAGAAACTGAAACGACGATCGCAGTGTATGAACATAAGACAACATAGCAGTTTCCATGCCAATGCTTTTCCATTAACCATGGAGGCCACTGTATAAAAAAAAAAAAAAAAAAAA